AATTAAAATACAAACCCCATTTCCAGAAAGGTTGGGCCATTTGCCAAAATGTAATAAAACCTAAAATCTGTGATTTGTTGATTTGCTTGAACTGACTAAAGTACAAAGAAATGGTTTTCTGTGTTTTCACTTACCAACTTATTTTATAAATATAAAAACATTTAGAATTTGATGCTTGCAACACCTCAAAAAGGTTTGACAGAAGTTAAATAGGTTTACTGTTCTAGTAATCTGGAAGATTTCATAATTAGCAGGTTAGTTGGGAAAAGGTGGGGGTTTCATGACAAGGTATAAAAGGAGCATCCACCAAAGGCCCAATCTTTGCAACCAAGGATGGGACATGACAAACACTTTGTGCCAAACATTGTCAGTCAGTTCAAAAAGAATACTTGTCAACACAAGATTACAAACAATTTAGGTCTTTTGCCATCTACAGTACATAACACTGTGAAAAGACTCAGGGATAATAATCAGTGTGTAACAGACCGATCACTCTTGATCGCAAGTTATTTTAAAGTTATAATAAATGTAGCTTTACATCATATTGTTAAAATCTTGTTGAGAAATTTAATACTGCAAAGGTGACAATTAAAATCAAACCAGCAAAAAAAAACCTCCGTCCAATATTATAAAAGATAAAAAGAGTTGGAGTGTCATAAACTGTGGCTTGCTACGGTACTCTCATCCATCTCCACTGTAGCCTCCTCTATCTGGGCTCTTTTTTTCTGAAGCAATATGTCAGAGATGCTCAAACATTTCTCTGTTTTCCACCCTTGAGCCTACAATATCTCATAGTTCAGTGTATTGGGTCAGTGCCAGAAATCAAAAACATTTGCTACAATCTGTGAACATGGCTGGAAGACTAAGAAAAACACCCTTTGCTCTGTTCAGCAACCAATTTTATCCCTCTTTTTTACTCCCCCATTCCACTTAAAGTCAGAGCTAACAAAAGTACTGATTACAGGGGCTCTCTCTACAGACGCTAGCATTTCTAAATGGAGAATTAAACCCTGGGACAAACCTCTGACATTTAAAATGTAACCTTGTGCAAGGACAACATTTATTTATTGCGAAGCCAAAGAAAAGTTAATAGTTCTGCTAGATAACTGTAGCTTGTTTCTCTTTAGAGAGGCTAGAAATGGGTGGTGTAAGGCATCTTTTCAATTATGTATGTCTCATAAAGCATAACAGATTAGGGTGTTATGGAGCACCAAGGTTAATAGGTTGATCTGTATCTGGCAGGGAACAAAAACTATATTTCATCATTGAAGAAGGGGTTTCATGCTGCGCTTCAGCTGCCCTCAAAGCCATTAGGTCATCATGATCATTTGAAATATAATCAATGAAATCATTTTTGATAATTACTAAGATTAAAGGAGCCACTGTAACTTACAAAGCTCTCCCTGGAGACTAAGCCACAGCGTCAGCATTTAAACCACTGGCGTTGTTGCTATCAGGTCATAGCCAGATTTCACCTGGGTGAGCAAGTGAGGGAAGTGAGAAAAAGAGTTGTTAAGAATGTGGTGGATGTGTTTATGTCTGCAGACCTGCATTTGCAAGACTGGCAGGCCTCAGACTGTCAGGATTGGCAATTAGATTTCAGCCAGCATTGTTACAAACACTGGCACCCCACAGGGATGTGTCCTCAGTCCCATACTCTACACCCTGTTCACCCACAAATGTGTCGCCTCCCACAAAGACAACATCATCCTAAAGTTCGCAGACTACACTGCAGTGATAGGTCGCATCACTGGCGGGGACGAAGCAGCCTACAGGAGGGAGGTGGCCGGTCTGGTGTCTTGGTACAAGGACAATAATCTCAGCCTCAACACGGACAAGAC